TTAAAGCTTGGAATAACCAAAGTAGAAACTATTTGTCCAGTAACTAAATGCCAGTTGTTAACTGCCGCTAGCGATTAATGATGTGCTTGGCAAATTATTATTGAATTTAATTCCAGTGCATCTATTCATTTCTATAATAAAATTCAGACATTTAAAAGGAAATGAAAGATCAAACCCACAAGCACAGAAAATAATAATCTACAGGAGCAAAATCTTTACTTGAACAAATTAAATATTCTTTTCTCTTCAAGGAAAAGTTATTGTGATGGTTATCATACAACTCTGACTGTAAATTAAGATCTCTTTATTCTTTCAACTATGCTTTTAAATTACTTTTTAAAAAAGTAATAATCCAACAGTTCTGTTTTTGACCACATTGATTAAACAAGAAATGACAGGAATTATGATAATCACAGAATCACGGGGCTTTGAAGGGACCTTAAGAGATCATGGCAATCAACTCCCTCTCTAAAGCAGGTACCTTGCAACAGGTTGCACAGGTAAGCATCCAGATGGGTCTTGCATATCTCCACAGAATGAGACTCCCCTCTGGGCAGCCTGTTCCAGTACTCTATTGGCCTTACAGTATAGTTCTTCCACATATTAATATGGAACTTCCTATGCAAACATTTTAGTTCATTACTCCTCATCCTATTGTTACACACCATGGTGAGATGCAGTCCCAAGAGAAGCAGACATTTTAACCAAGGCTGGAATATTTCTACAAAGTTATTTATACCAATAAATTGAACAATCACATTTGATACTTCATAATTAACCCTATTTTTGAGAACAGTGACAATTTCTGATCAATGTGAACTAGGAAAAATTTATAATTTTCAATTTTTGTTTAACAGTTGAAAACATCTAAATTGACAAAGGCAGCAAGTAGTTGAGTTGCTTATTTTTATTTTTATTTTTCGGAGTTCCTTGAAATGTGCATAAAACTGTGCAGATGTACTTCCCTGCAGCAGACACTCTAATCTTTGTTCAGTGTATTTTGTAGGATTATGACTACACATAAAGGATACCGAAGGAGTTACTTTTGTGTAGCAGCATACAATGATGGGTACACAGTCTATACCTTCCATAAAGTTCTCCAAAATATTGCCATGAATATTAAAAAAAAAGTTAGACAAGAAGGTCTTAAAGAAGGACTGTAAATTTTCTGTTAAGGCTATGCAGTGAAAGATGACTTTCAGCACAGGGGCCTTGAGCAGCTAGATGGACAGGACACAACAAAAAGACTCAGCAGTCTTCCTGGTAAAATGATTCTGGGAGAAGCTCTTTATTTCCTTTATATCACTTAAGTACTACTAGGATAATTTTTTTGTGTGAAAAAAAGAAAGTCTTAACTTTCTCAGTTTCCTGTTGATAGAGAATTTGTAATATATATAGCCTACATTTAAAAAATTACTAAGATTAGACTCATATAGTTAACAAGTTCGGGAGTGCTTCTTATTGTGGCAGTCTCAACTGATCCAGTTATGGTTGCAGTTGCTTGAAATTGCCTGTTCTCAGTCATAGTAAATAAAAGCAACACTAATTATTGTATATAAAAAAGGAACATTTAACACGAAAGCTTGATATCTCTGCAATGTAAAACAATCTCAAAGACCACTCAAATCATCCTAAGTTCTGCAATGTTGTTAGATGTGACTACATTGTATTTCAGATGCTCTCAACAACCTTTGAGACAGACACATGCTCTCTTTAAGCAATCTCCCAATATGAAAGGTAATTCTCTTGAAGCCTCCTAAGTATCAGATAATAAGACAAAAGAGTCCCTTGATGACCACCTCGATGAAGAACAGTTTACAGAAATTATTGGAATTCTTAAAATATACTTGTCATTTATTAAATTGAGAACTATTTTGTTAATAATTTCATCAGTTATGGTTCTGCAGAAAATTCAACCTGCTTTGATTTCCACACACCCAAAATTGCATACTTTTTGAGGAGAAAAAATAATTTTGGCTTTTCATCATCAAGTATACCTCAACCAAGAAGGCTAGAATTGTATGTGATGTATCCTTCAGATCATAATATGGAAAACCATGATTGAAGCAATTTGCAATTCTAAATTACGTTGTGCTGTATTCACTTAATTCTTTGGTGCAGGTTAATTTGCATCTTTGTAGACCACTTACCTAGAAACTTCAGATGAGAATCTTTTTTTTCAATGTAAAACCAGAACAAAAGAGCCATTTCTTCTGGCATTAGTAAACTTGAAAATATCAAGTTTACTCCAACACCTCTATCCTTCCAAAAATGTTTATTAGGAATGAAGAGTGCTAACAAATCAAGAAAACATACATATTACTAATCTATACTGAACAGCACTCCTTGAAATGTGAAGTCTAGAAAGAGACCTGAATTTCCAAAGATGTATACAACTTTTGCCAAGTGGTACTTCTGCATTCAACTCACTTAAAGTAAACTTCAAAGAAGTCGTTGTCTTGATGCCTGCCAACATAAATATAGAAAGACATTAACCTGTGAAATTGAAAGTGATGCATAGACATATGAAGTCTCATTATTGACAGCTTCCTAAAGCCTTTGTTAAACTCTACAGTGTTTTGAGATTAAATTCATTGCAAAAAAAATAAAATATGAAAAAAAATAGGAAAAAAGAAAACAACACTATTAAAAATTATCATGGAAAAGAAGCAAATGAAAACAAGAACACTATTAAAAAGAGTAATTGTGGAAAAGCAGCAAATGAAAAATATGACAAGTTTTGGAATGTATAAGAAATGGAAAACAACACTGCAAAAACAAACAAACAAAACAAACAAACAAACAAACAAAAAACAACCCACACCCCAAAAACCTATAATCTTGGACATTGGTGAATTTGAAAGAAATGCATTTATATTTCCACACCTGATGCACATCAACTTTGTATTTCTGAGTAGTGCCCAGACCATAACAATATTAATGATTAAGAAGCCACAACCTCAGAAAAGATGGAAGAAAAAAATAATAGTTTTGAGCAAAGTAATCATATTTTAGAAAGAAAATTTTAGAGGTTAATTATAGGCTAATGAAAAACTAGCATAATTTTCCCATCTTAGATATACGTTCACAGGTAGTAGAAAAACAAGATTTGTTATCCTATTTTTAATATTTTACAATTCTTGAAGGAGTATGACACATAAGACATTGAGATTTTGGAAAGGGTCCAGAGGAGGGCGACTAAGATGATCAGGGGGCTGGAGCACCTCCCCTATGAGGACAGGCTGAGGGAGTTGGGCTTGTTCAGCCTGGAGAAGAGAAGGCTGCGGGGTGACCTCATTGCAGCCTATCAATACCTGAAGGGAACCTACACCCACGAGGGGAGTAAACTCTTCAAAAGGGCTGACAACAGCAGGACTAGGGGAAATGGATCGAAGTTGAAGGAGGGAAGATTTAGGTTGGATGTTAGGGGGAAGTTCTATACAAGGAGAGTGGTTAGGCCCTGGAACGGGCTGCCCAGGGAGGTTGTGGATGCCCCGTCCTTGGATGTGTTTAAAGCCAGGTTGGACAGGGTCCTGGGCAACCTGATCTGAATGTGTGTGTTTGGTGGCCCTGCTAGGCAGGGGGGTTGGAACTACATGATCCTTGAGGTCCCTTCCAACCCGGGTGATTCTGTGATTCTGTGATTCTGTGATATGACAACAGCTCTTTCCAACTAATCTATAGTGGGTCTGATTCTGATCAGATTCAGTGGAAGAAGAATGCTATCTCCCTAACATCTAAGTAGCACTTTAGTAAAGCGATTTAAAAACCCAAAATTAGTGTTGCAATACATACCTTCAAACTCATGAAAAAGATGACTGAATTCCACATTGAGAACACATCCTGTAGCCTGAACAGTTGCTTGAACAGAAAAATACAGATATTCAGTACGTTCAAGGATTAAGTCGAGCCTGACGCTTAGAGTGTGCCCATGCAATTACAGCTCACCAGGATTTTTGGATTGCAAGGTACAATTTCAAACAAGCACATGTGCTTGCATTTGTATAGTTCTATTTAGCATTTAACATTTAACATTTCAAGTTGACTTTCTTCTTTGGTACTGATATATGCAAAAGAAGAGCAGACAATATTGTCAGGCAAAAGATATCAAAAAGAAAAGTTCCTTATGCAGGATGTCACTTTTATACATAATCTGAGCATGTCATCCATAGTATATTTGAGATATACAAATATAAAAACATGTTACTTTTAAGTCTGAGTACCTCCCATGACCTGCATTAGAAATTACAAAGAATACTCCATGCTTTGAAGGGCAGGCAAAGAAACGTGTTTTTCTTATTCAAAAGAATCACTATTGCAATGGAGATGCTTAAAGGAAAGTTGGGAGAGAAACAGAATAACTTAGTCACAGAATACAAATATAATTAATAAGGTAGTACTGATAAGGAGTTATCTTTTTCATTCAAATTCAAAGTCAAATAATTTATATTATCAAACATTTGTACAGGTGCTGATATTAACAATTTTTTTGCATTTTACTATACAGAATAATGGTGTAAACTGAGGTTGCCTGGGATGTTTTAACTTCTTTACATTCAGATCTCTCATTTCCTAAACTTCTTCAGACAGTTCATATTCTTACTTTATTATTTGGAGATTATTTTTTTCAGACCCAAGATACTAAGACTGTGATTTAATACTAATGATATCCAGACAAGGATCTTCTAGTTCACCTATTCAAAATCAAAGGTGAAATAGATTCCTATTATTATTAATCATATGAAAGTTATAACATATTAGCATAGGATGAATTATTTACTGGAGCCACTACTTACGCCCCTGTTTAACATATAATTTAACCTATTGTAGGAAAAATTCTAGAAATCAATGTCACTATCCTCATACTTGATATAAAAAAATACCAAGAACAAAAAAAAATACAGAACAGTTAGAACAATACAGTTTCAAATATGTACATTTTTACATTGTTAAAAGCAGTCATTTTTCCAAAACATCATATGTGAATTAAGTCCATTGAGATTCTGATGGGAATGATTTGCATGATGGGAAAAAGAAGAGTAGAATATGATCCAGAGTAACCATACAAATATGTGAAGCATTTTTCCCAACATTTTAATGAGTTGACAGATGTCTTGTTCCAGTGAAGCAAACACATCACTGCTTCTATATAGCCAGTATGTTAAGTTCTCATAATATGAATCTCTACATGTTACAAAGATATGCTTGAAAGAGTTCGTTTTCAGGCCCTTTTAAAGAAGCATTGATTGCAAATGCATTAATGCCAGTCAAAAGAATGATTAACCATTTTGTAAAATTTTGCATTGTGCTCTCTGAAGTAAGAATAAAGTTGTTCTAAAACAGTGTTGTTAACAAGAGGATGGGGTCGCCCTTTGGATTCATGTAAACATCTTTCTCTTCCATCACTTCGAATGCAATAGAATCCCTTAGTTTGGTTAAAATAAAAATTAGAAGACATAATTCGGGAGGGAAGATTCAGAAATCTCTCAACTTTTTGTAATTCAGGAAGAGGGTCCTTGATTAAAGTATTGCCATCCACTATATGAATCTGATCCAAACTGAAATGTTTAAGCCACTTTTCCATATGAACATCATATAAACTTCTCTGAATAGCTTTGTATTTGGTATTAAGTGCTCCATTCTTAATAACAATATCTTCAAAAAGCTGAACAGGCTTGTGACTTTCTACTCTGTTGTAATATACTTGGGTATAGTCAGATATAACTCTCTCAGTGGGATCTCTCAGAATGAGCAGCAGCTTAATGGAGCTATTCATGTCATGAATTCTTTCTGGAGCCTGTGGTGATGTAAAATAGCCTGGTGTTTTCTCAATAGTAATTTGATTTCCATATGAAAATGGCATCAAACTCCTATACCAGTCTATTCCTTTCACATAATTTTCATCCCAGTCAAAAAAGTGGACTTCTGTAGCTGCTACAACAATATTAGGATGAATATCCAACATTTCCAGCAAAGCCCTTGTCCCTCCTTTACGAACTCCAATGATAATTGTCTGAGGTATTCGTCGGCTTGTGCCAGGAGGTCTCACCTGTGCTGAATAGTGTTCACTTTTATTGCTGAATAATCCTACCTGTGACTTCAGTGTTTCTAACAGTGCCCCATTCTCTACAGGAGCACCCTGAGTATGAGTCAGCAGAAAATAAGCTGACACCAGAAGAAAGGCCATGTGGAGAAGAATAATTAGTTCAAGATAATGCTGCGTTTGATTAATGAAAGAATAGATCGGTCCCTTCTTGAGTTGGTTGGCAGAACCAGCGGTAAACAAACAGCAGTTTTCTGAAGCATCTGCAAAATAAAATAAGTCAAATAAATATTTCTAAATCCATCACAAATTGGAAATTCAATTTTCCATTCAATTAACAAATCCAGTCATAATAGAAAATTTATCTATCTGTTACAGTTACCTGTTTTAGCTGTGTGTTTTTTTTTTTTTTTCCTCAGAAGATGATGAGAAAGATGAAAAAGAAGAAAGAAAATGAGGATGGTGATGATGAGGAAAAGCAGATGAATAATGGTGTTGCAAAGCAGGAGTGCTGTGCCTTTGTTGAATCAGTGTGGGGAAAAAAAAAGTAAAATTGATGTGACAGGGCGATTTCTTTGCAGCTAGTGCTAGCAAAGTGCTATAGAGTGTAGCCATTCAGGTGTTAGGAAAACCTTGGTAAAAACAGATCTTTCAGTATAATTCTGCAGTTCTTCTGAATGTCTGCTGTAAAAGAAATGCGTAGATTCTTTCCAAATTAAAAATGTTGTAGGGAAGTAAGTCTGGTTGAAGTTGGATGCCCTCTTTTTTCTTCATCCAGTTATTGTTCTGTCGTTTTAAAGTGGGTACACATGCACACATAAGTGAAATGTCACTGTAACTGTGTTGCTAGTCTTTGGAATCTCTTGGGAAGGCTTTGTATATATTCACAGAATCAATCACAAAATGGCTTAGGTTGGAGGGGACCTTAAAGATCATTTTCAGTTCCAAAACCCCTGATGTGAGCAAGATTGTCACCCACTAGAACAGGCTGCCCAGGATCTAAATGGGGCATCCACAGCTTCCCTGGGCAGCCTGCTCCAATGCTTTTGAATGAACAATTTGCTTCTAACATCTAATCTAAAACTCCTCTTGTTATTTTAAAACTGTTCACCCTTTTCAAACCGCTATCAGACCATGTAAAAATTCAGTCCTCCTTCTGATTATTGAGTTTCTTTTAAGAACTGGAAAGCTGCAATGAGATCCCTACAGAGCTCTCTCTTCTCCAGGCTAAACAAGCCCAACTTCCACAACCTTTAGGAGAAGCGCTCCAGCTCTCGGATCATCTCTGTGACCCTCCTCTGGATCTACTCCAACAGCAGAGACTTTCTTGTGCTCAGAGCCCCAGGCCTGGACACAGGACTCCAGATTGGACTTCATGAGGGCAGAGGGGATGATGATCTCCTTCATCCTGCTGCTGTCCCTATTTTGGTGCAGTCCAGGATACTGTTGGCCTTCTTGGCTGCAAGCACATCACACCCAGCTTTTCATCCACAAGAACCCCAAAGTTCTCTTCTGCAAGGCTACTTCTCAAGAAGTTCTTCCACTCTGTACTCATATCTGGATTGTCCTAACCCAAGTGCACTAGCCTGCAGTTAACCTTATTGAATCTCATCAGGTTTTTCTGGGCCCAATTTTTAAATTTGTATATTATAATATTTTGATATTGTAATGCTGTTTGAAATGTATTGCTAGCCATCACAACAATGCTGATAAAAGAAAAAAAGTTCAAATCAGTGCAATACTTGTACTAGAGACACTATTCTTGGAATGCCTGTTCCCATGCCTGAAAAAAAAATCTTACAAAGGAAACTTATTTGAGAGGATTCTTGGAATTTTCCCATTTCTCAGCAAATATACAGTTTATAAAAATACAGTTGTGAGGTTTGCATGATACATCTATTTCCTTAATTTGTTTTGGTTTTAGTGCGGAAACAAACTTTCATTCAGTGAAGCAGTAGTTATTTTAAACCAACTGATTTTGGATGCTATTTGTATGATGGCTCATATTTTAAAGCCATCTCAGAAATACTAAAGCCTTAGCTCCTTCTTTGTTCCCACTGTCAGTCTCTTTCTTTTTCTGAATACACTGGTCACAATACTTTGCCTCTTAGAAAAAACCTTAGGGAACACAGCCAATTCCCATTTGTCATGGCTCCGAGGAGCACTTAGTGTTGCTATTCAAAAGTTTTTTCCTTTGAGGCTTATTTATAAAAGTAACAAAAACATTTTTGATAATAACAATCTAAGCAAGATTCCCTGAATCTATTTTCTAAATCTTCCCATTAAAACATACTCCAGCATCCTCGATAACTATGGAATGACCTTTTGGAGTCTTGATTGACTTCTAAACTCACAGATAGCAAGTATTAACACTTAATTTTAAAATTGACTTTTTAAAAGTGAACTGTGACCTTTAGTGAGTGAATATTTGCAGAGCATTCCCTACTATGTCCAAGGAAGACCTAAGCATGGCTATTTGAAAAAAAAATATTACTTCAACTAGGTAAAGTGGGTGAGCATACACTTACTAAATACTGGAAAAGTCCAGATCTAAACTGAGTTTTTAAACCAGAAACAGGAAAAAAAAAATGATTTTTTACCAACATGAAAGAAGAATTTACCAACATGAAAGAAGAATTGATTTCAAAGGTAATAGGCTTTTAACTAAGAACTCCAGGTAGAAGTTCTGTTTAAAGAACAGGGAATGCAAATATTTCTGTGGGAATTACCAGATGGAAGAACAGGTACATTTATACCAAATCCATTTTGTTTTAAGAACTACTGCTTTTTTTGGGTGGGAAGTTTGGGAAATAGTAAACATGCTGAAGAATCAAAATGCATTCTGCTATAAATGACAGTTAGTGTCTGTTGATTTTGAGAAGCTCTTAAAGAGTGTACAACACTGCACATGTTGTTTAAGGCATTACACCCTAGGTGACTCAAAAAATATTGGCCTTCAAATTCCAAGCATGTTTGCAAGCAGTGACTTTGCTTCGTTAATGCCAAGCTTTTTGGCAAATTCAGAATTTATTGATTGACAACCTTCTTAGACTTCCTATTTACAGTAAGGACAAAGCTACACATCAGTTGCTTTTAGAAGCACTTCCTCTCTTAGCTGGAAAGAATACACAGCAATATTGCTGCAATTCTGTAATCTCAGTAAGCAGTAAGGAGGGGAGCTGGGAAACAGATAATATTTTAACCTTTTCCAAAACTTTAGCATTAATTTACATTCTAATCTTCATTCTAAAATTAAAATTATTTGAAGAAGATTGAGGAATTATGGTTGTAAATCCCTTTTTTTCAATTTACCTTTTTTGTTCTAATATTTACCTCATATTATTTGATAAAGGCAAGATCAATCTGAATATTGGGCAAGAAAGCACTGCCTTGCAAATACCATGAAGTAGTAAACTAATTTAAATAATTTAATTTAATTTCCAGAACTATCCCATTCAGTTTTAAAAACTGATTCTTAACAGACATATTAGGCATCTCTGACTAATCAGATTAAAATGTTTTCAGAATTATAGATAAGATATATTCTTGAGACTGACTAGGATAATAGAAAAGGATCTGAGTTTTGGATCTCTGCAGTAGAATGGACAGGGGTGAGTTCATCTTATGTTGATGATTCACAGTGATTGACGAAAAACATTCAAACTTACAGATATTTTTTTTAGTAAAATAAAAATTCAGTGAAATAAATGTCACAAACTTTGCTTATATGGCTTCACTCAGCTAAGAATCACACATAAATACTGTGATTCAGAGAAGCCTGAAAGCTGAATAAAAAATTTATACTTGGAATTAGGGAAAAATTTGTCTTTCAAATATTTTCGGGTTTACATATAATAACAGTGAATGACTGTTTAAATGACCATCTAAAAATCAGCACTTCTCTATAATAACACATTTGGAAACCAAGTAACAGGAGATGCCATGTTTCCTATACACCAAGTATTAGTAGCATTTTTGAAAACAATCATTAGTTTAACAAGTTTTCAATTCATTAGTTTTAGTAAAGTGGAAATTTCCTAGACTTATTGCTAGAAAAAAAAAAAAAAAAAACTTTACCTAGGAAATACTACCAGAAGAAAATATTAATTCAGAATGCGCTGCAAAGCTGATGCCTAAATAGATCAAAATTGCCTTTGGGAGCAATTCCATCAGAACAACATTCCAGCTTCAGCCTAAGAGATTTGATTGATTTGACGAAGCTCTAAGATGTTAGATCCTGTGGTTAGGTTATAATTGCTACATAAATGTAAAAAGGATTTAAACATGATTTATCAAATATAATTGGAAGGTTATTTGAATAATTTTTGTGCTGCTTTTCTGTCTTCATGCTATTAAATGCACATTTTTAGAAGATATGAACTGCTTTTTATAATGAAACCAATATATTTTACATTGGAGTACTGTGTACTTGGAATTTCAAAATATTCCTATTAGCCATATGGAACATAACCAAAAAATTAACTCCACGATGCATTATTGGAGTTATGGTACCATACTACATGTTTATTTGGCAGTTTTTGTGTTGCTTAGTAACACAGGGAACATCAACAGATATGATACTTAAGCAGATGTGAAGTTCAAAAAGAAATTCACACCGTGGAGATAACTGTTTAAGTGAATAGCAACTTGGGATTTTGTTTGGTTTACTTTTTAAAAAACTAAAGCAGCAAATGCACTGGCTGAAAAATCATTTTAATATAGCAGAAATGTTCTAAAGACCTTTAATTCCTGCAATCTATGGTTAAAAAAAAAATCTAAATTGCTAATTATTTACCTTGCTTCAGGGTGAAGTACAATATCATAGGGTAAACATACCTATATTATTATTACTTATTGCTAACATTATAAATGAGTATAATACACTCTCCACAGCCTGTAATACTTTCAACTGGGGAATTTCACAGCACATTATATTGATGAACTCTCTTCTGCCCCCTATTATGGCAGTATTCTCACCTTACAGGAAATTGTGACTAATGAACATAAAGTCAGTTCAGGAGTGCAAATGCTTCAGAAAGTCAGGATTAATGTGATCTCCATAAGGTCATATAACAGGTTTACAATCCAATTGAGAAAAAAGAACAAAATAGGGCTTTCAGTTCCCCACCCACTTCCAACTTTGTACCCTTTGATGGCAATCACTCACGTTATAGTAATTTACACTTGGATTATATGCAGAACTTAAAGGAAAGTATGAAAAGAAAAGAGAAGAACTCCCCAGTGTTATAACATAAGATTGGAG